GTTGATAAATGAGTTTCTCTCTTACCTTTTTTAACTAACATATGCTGGTCTGTTTATGGAATTCAAAAATGAAGAAGCTACAGGGCCGGTGTGCTGAGGGAGTCGTTTTTCTTGGTAAGTTAGGCTCTATTCAATCTAGAGATTGCCTTTCTTCGCATTGCCCAAATGATCACAAAAGGTTCTTTCCTAATCATGCGTCGTCTAAGGTGCATCAATTGCACCTTGATTACTTCAGGTTTGCTGGCCGTGTGATTGCTTTAGCATTGATGCATAAAGTGCAAGTAGGTGTTGTCTTTGATCGTATCTTTTTCTCACAATTGGCTGGAATGCATGTTTCTTCGGAAGATATCAAAGAGGCAGATCCATGTTTGTATAGTAGCTACAAGCAGATCCTCGCTATGGATGCTGATGCTATTGATTCAAATGATCTAGGGTTGACTTTTGTTAGAGAAGTTAAGGAGTTAGGATCCAAGAAAGTTATAGAGCTGCGTCCTAGTGGGAAAAGCATTTCTGTGAATAGCAGAAATAGGCAGGGATATATTGACCTTTTTTAACTAACACTAATTATTTGTAAGTGAAAGAGTAATGTTTAGTCATTAAATTTGAATTTAAATTTAAAAATTAAAGTCATATTATACAACCCATTACATTTAAAATCGTTACACGACTATCATTTTTCTAAAATCATTGTATATGTATTATTGCCTATTAAAAAATAGTAAGAAGAGGAACTGTAGAGTTATTTGCCAAAGGTATTTGCAAAAACTAAAACACAAAAAAAAAAAAAAAGAAAAAAAAGAATTAACTTTCTCATGTATATAGTTAAGGTTCGAATCGCATTCTCTCTCCTTACTCCTCTCCCCCAATAAGGTTTTTAACCAATTGACATATATCACATGAAAAAAAAAGTAGTTCCTTCAATTAACTTAAATAATATTTGTTTTCCTCTCACTTCTTTTTTAAAAAATAAAACTAAGATTTGATTATTTGTGTGTGAAAAATAAGTACACTTTTATTTTTACAAAATAGCTACACTTCTTTACCAAGTCCACTAGTGTATGATTTGTTTTTTACTTAACCAAATACATAAATTTATTAGACCAAAGCACATAGAAAAAGCATCGATAAAAGATAAATTTTTTTATAATTTTATTTATCATTTAATAATGAGTTCTTATCACCTAATGAGATTCATAATATTATATGTATTTACTCATTAAATAACATGTAAAAATTATATAAAAAATTATACCAAAGAATTGTCCCTGTGTATCATTACCTATGATTCAATGCTTGGTCCTCAGCTTGTTGCATTGTTCATATTTTAGTTCCTGAAATTTTCTTGATCCTTAAACTGAATTTTTAAACCCAAAGTTATCCTTCCATTGCACAATTTTTCATCAGAAAATAGATCATTTTTATGTAGAAAATTGCATGAAAAAACAAAGACGACAATTAAATGTGGTGGAAAAATTTTGGATTCGCATGTATATGTTTGATAATTTTTTTTAAAGTAGGATAATTATTAGTAAGTATAGTGCATATAACATTTACAAAATTACAAAAGTTAATTTAGAAAAGTTTTATATCATAAACTAAAAGGGTTTATGTCCATGTAAAACATTTCATTGAACACAAACGCAAGATCTTTACAAGGAAGAATAGAACATGATTACGGACACCGTTACCTTTCTTGTGCCTTGTGGGCAATTGCCTAAAGATACACATTGATGTAAATCTGGTAATTGGCGGATGAATTAATTTGCAGTTTGCTCGTGATTAATTCATGGCAAATTTAATAAATAACATGTGACTGATTTCTAATTGAAATTAATTTACCATATTTGAAAATTTTGAAAGGGTTAGGGGGCGGCTGCCCCCATTGTCCTGCATTGGCTCTGTCCCTTGAGTCCAACAATTAAGTGGAGACAATTAATAATAGAGACATGTCTTATACCCTGGCATGTGCATGCTCTATTATATTATTATTATTATTTACTTACTCCAGCTTGTCTATCTATATAATTTTACTCGATTAAAAAGTTTTATGCAGGAAATAAGAAATTTACTCCTTTGTTTTAGGAAAAAAAAAGGGAAAGAAAAAGCTATGCAAGTATAGGTTGATCCAGATTCATTTCATCACCAAACAATTTCCTGGAATATTGTTAATAAAAACTATATTTTTAGATAAGAGAATTCTAAAAATTGCAATTTTATTTCTCATCCATTTATT